TAAAACTCATATTGAGGAAAATCTTTTCAAAGACCCAACAAAATAGAGCAGGACAAACCACAGAGGGACGAGTCCTCTTCATACTTTCTAAATGCTCAAGCAAACCCTCTTGTACATCAGCGGTCATTGAGTTTGAAACGAGTATTGGGAAGTCATGTGGGCATAACACCCTACCATCTTTTGACAAGCACCCTTGTTACATAAGCATCATCTCTAAGCTTTAACCGTCCATAACCTACCATAGGGGCATCAGTTGAAAGAATTATAATCATTACATAAATCATTGTCATGTATTCATTAGGTCGCTTCGCTCTAGCATCATGTCATTCAGATCATCTAACATGTTCCCATATCATGAATATAACATCTTTTGGCACCTCACAAAAGCTCAACACCTCTCGGAGCATATCAAGAGCCCAACCTAGATCACCATCTCATAAAGCCCAACTTCTCTTGGCACCCAACAACTACAGTCCAAAGCCCATCCTTTCTTGGAACCCAACACCTACCCTCAGTGTCCAGTTCTCATCTGACCATTTCTAATACTCATCATCTACTAATACTCGTCCGAAACTTTATACATGCATTACCGAGCTTAAACCTTAAAAAAGGGGAAAACTGAGTCCATCCTAATATGCTCACTTTGAAAAATCAACCACCCATTGGTATCCATTATCCAAAATTCACAAAACTCGCAAAAACCTCGCATCCATGCATCATGTCACGCGTAGCATATCCACGAATGTGGAGCATTACGACATACAAATTCCAAAGATGCATTCATAGCAAAACATGCATTCATAGCAAAACATGCATACATGGCATAACATAAGGGTCAGAATTCCTCGAAAAATCCAAAATCAATCCCCATCTAACTCGGTGACATCTCTCTGACTAGGCTTATCCCATTGCTACCATTCATCCTAGTGAGTCTGTCATATAAACATTCCCCACTGAACCAAGTTACAATCTCCAAGCAAGCCTATTTCAGCAAGTAGGATCGTTAACTTTCCCCAGTAGACTTCCTCACAAAGTATCATTTTGCAGCGTGCTCCCTAGCAACCATTCCCCCCGAGGAATTCTTCTAAGAACCTTCTCCATCATAGGATCGTTAGGAAGACCAACAACATTTCAAACGTAAGCAGCCTTACGTATCAAGCATGAGCAACCTCACTGTCTCTTCCATAATTCAATCGAAGGCAACCCTACGATCATGAGCAGACTCGTGCATTAATAAACCATTCAAATGTAAGCAACCTTATGTATCCAATATGAGCAACCTCACACATCCATAATTCAAAATGTAAGCAGCCTTACGTGATTTTCAACCATTCAGACGTGAGCAGCCTCACACATCTCCAACCACATTTCAAAGGTGAGCAACCTTACGTATCAAGTGTTAGCAACCTCACATATCCATAATCAAGTCAATTGTAAGAAACCTTACAAGTGTGAGCAGCCTCACACATCTCTTCACCATTCAACTATAAGCAACCTTACATATCGAGCGTGAGCAACGTCATGTATCTACCAACTCGAGTGTAAGCAACTTTATGTATCAAGCGTAAACAGCCTTACGCATCCCTAGCAATAATTCAAGCAGAAGGAACCTTATGTATCGATCGTAAGTAGCCTTAAGCATTCCCATCAATAATTCAAACGTAAGGAGCCTTACGTATCTTCATTAATTATTCGATCGTAAGTAACCTTATGTATAGAGCGTAAGCAGTATTACGTACCCCATCAACTTTTTTCATGTTTAACTTATTAATCCCTTGGTTTAGGTAAACTTTATCCATTATGCCTTGTTAATACCTTGGTATATGCAATTTCTTTCCATGTTGCATTGTTAATCCCTTGGTATAGGAAACTTCTTTTCATGTTTACCTTGTTAATCTATTGGTTTAGGTAAATTTTATCCATTTTGCCTTGTTAATCTCTTGGTATAGGAAGTTTCTTTCCATGTTGCATTGTTAATTACTTGGTATAGACAACTAATTTTCATGTCTATCTTGTTAATCTCTTGGTTTAGGTAAACTTTATCCATTCTGCTTTGTTAATCCTTTGGTTTAGGCAGTTTATTTCCATGTTGCCTTGTTAATCTCTTAGTATAGGCAACTTATTTCATGTTTACCTTATTTATCCCTTGGTTTAGGTAAACTTCATCCATTATGACTTGTTAATCCCCTAGTTTAGGCAGTTTATTTCCATGTTACCTTGTTAATCGCTTGGTATGGGCAACTTATTTTCTATTTACCTTGTTAATCCCTTGGTTTATGTAAATGTTATCCACTCCTGCCTTGTTAATCCCTTGATTTAAGCAAACTATTTCCCACTTACCTTGTTAATCCTTTGGTTTAGGTAAACTCTATCTGGCGTGCCTTGTTAATCCCCTAGTTTAGGCACCTTTCACAATTTTCTGCTCTTGGTTAAGACACTACTCTTACAATTTCATTATCTGGTCCATCCAAAAATAGATCAATTATCTCTGGCCTTGTCCATAATCTTTCCAATCATCTCTGATTTGTCTAAAACATTTCATTCACTCTACGACACTTGTTCATTCAGTTCTCTTTGGCATCCTCACTACATCCAAGTAGGGGATCGATTTCATTCCAAGTCCTACCCAAGGATCATCAGGACAAAATCAAGATTTGAAGGCACAATGTTAACCTGTGGATGGGTGTCTTCCTGCATATCCTCAGTAAAGTTAGTCCTTCATACAAGTTACCTCCTTTTAGAAGGCAATTTGGGATTTTCCAATATTTAATTATCCTCCACCTCGAACATGTGAAGGTCTCGCCTTCTGCACTCTCGAGGCGAAGGATAATTAAATGGAGGCAACTATCATACCCTAAATTTGCTCACCCTTTATATATTTTTTAGTGCCAATTTATTTTGAATAAAAAAAAATAATATAATTGATAGTAGAACATGTATAAGACATACAAGTGAGATGTCATGAGTTTGAATCCCACTTTTCCCATATTTTTTCATATTTTTCTTTTATTTGTTTCTATTTATTTATTTATTCGTATTCTACCCAAAAAATTAAAATTTATATTTTTTATTTTCGTTTTTTACTTAAATCATTTTATGAATAATTATTTTTTATTTTATTTTATGTATTTTTAGTTAAAAAATAGTCAAAAAATCAAAAAAAATATAAAAGATAGTTTTTTTATTCAATTTTTTGGTCCGAGTCAATAACATTGAAGTTTCTTATTTGATTTTTTCTACTTTTAAAAAAAAAAATTTATGTTAATTTTGTTTTAATTTTGATTTTATTTTTATTATTTTCCTACAAACTAATATAAATAGGATCAATAATTTCTAACCTAAGGGGCCATTTTTTTATTCACAAATCAGCCACGTACATATACTAATTCTCACACATCCACTCTCATTCACAAAAATACCTTAACACATTATATAAACCATACTAACCCTCGTACACATTATACAAAGCCTTTTTTCACGCACAACCAAACTCCATAAACCTTCAAAATCACTATCACAAACCTTTAAAAACACCCTTCAATCCAAAACCATGTCATAACCAAGATCCACACAACAACAAGCCATGAAACTTTCATCATAAACACAATCCCACCATTCAAAAACCATTTTCAAACTTTAAAATCATACACATTAAACTTCAATCACCTTTGTTTTTCTTTAACTCTAGAACTCACATCCCAATCACAAACAATCTCACAGCTCTCATGTAATTCACTAACTACACACCATTAAAAATACCATTATCCCCAAATTCAATACCAACAACACGATTAGTAAACCTCTCAAGCCATTATCATTTTCATAGTTTGCAGAATTAAGAAATAACATAAACCAACCATGCATAAAAAAAAAAAATCTTAGGATGACATTACAACAGCAAATAAGAAAAAAAAGAATTAAAGTGGAGCACAAATCTAGATTCACCACAAGAAAATTGGCAGATTACGGCAGTTATTCTGGCAGGTTACGACAATTAAAATTGCCAATTTGCAATCTATAATGGTTGAAGTACCGTCACAAAAACATGTGTTCCCAAGCCACTTAGCAACGGTTGCCAAAACCGCCACCAAATGTCGTTCTAGTTCACTACAGGTTAGAACTTACCTAAATTCAAACTGGCGACGGTTAAATATTGTCGTTAATATTCTTTTGATTTTTGTTTTCATTGTTGATTGCAACAGTTTAAAAATGTGATATCCTGACAGTTCAAACCGTCGTAATCTAATTTATAAATTTTAAATTTAATCATTTGGTAACTGTTTAAAGCGCACTAATTATTTAATTTTTACATTTAGCAATAGTTTAAACCATTATTATTTTTATCTATTGTATTATTTTTTATAATATATTTATTCATTTTAAATTATTATCTACTAAAATATTTTTAAATATAGTATTATTCTTTTAATATTATTTTTTTCTTTACAAAACTCAGAATGAACAAAAAAAAGGCTAGTAACAACACAACACAACCAATGTTTTTAAACCTAAACAGATAGAAGTTGATTCAAACACGGTTAAATTGATTGTAAGTTTCATAGCTCTAGAAGAATTACTTCTCTAAGATGCTAAATAACTAGCCCTGCCATAATGATAGGAAGTTTCTGCAGGAATTGAAGAAGTCATTTCAGGACTGTATGGACTCTGATCCTAAACTAAACTGATAAAGAAACTCAAGGAGTCACTAGAAAAGCAAAGGTTTCTCTATTAAACACTTCACATGTTTTTATTACTTCCCGATATTAAACACTTCACATTGTTCTTAGAAGGACGAATAATAATTTATTAATAAACAAAGATAACAATATCCTTCCCCACCTCATTTGCGTAAACTACATATAAAAATCATACGAGACTAATTGGAAACCATGCTTTCACTTTCTTTCACAAAACCATCCCCTGTCCAATCTTTATCAGACTGAAATCCTTTCTTTATTGCTTTCCTTTGCTTAATTGCTTCTTGCGGCCTTTTCACCAAGTCAGTGTGTGTAGTAAAATACTCGAGAGATGCTCTGTAATTTTTATTCAAAAATTAATAACAGAGATTATAACTTAACATGCTTATTTTTAGTGTATGTATGAGGAAATTGTGAAACTATACCCTATGAAATCTTCTATTGATTTGAAATTGTTTTTTCATGAAGTCTTTAAGCTCAATAAAAAGCTTATTCACAAGACCATAGCCATGCACCAAAACGCCGGTGCACACCTGTCTAACTTTGTGAAGTGACACTAGGTAATTATTGAGAACTTACAAAATAAAACTCTAATAGAACAGGCTTGAAGCAAGACCCAACTTCAAAGATACTGTCACCATGCTGCATATAGAAAGTTGCATCCAATATCTGCATAGTCAAAAAGTTGAATCTTGCATAAGCCAAACTTCAAAGACATTGTCACCATAATTTAGAATGTGTGCAGTCATCAATCCCGCCTATACATAATATGTCAACTAAATCATAAGACAAACCAGCAGTGACTAATAATTATTGGTGGCTGTGGCATGAATTTATGTTAAAAATATTATAAACATTGAGTACTCCTAATCAATCCTAATTATGGTTTATCCTAATCTGCAAGTGAAAACTGTAACCATAAGTTTAACATTCTTGAAATCATTAATACAAAGGGTTTATTAACATATGTTCTGACCTTGCACACTGAATATACATGGTAGTTATCCCTAAGCCTTGGTTCCACTATTTTACAAAGATCTTCAATAAGATACGGCTGACCAAGAACTCCTTAAAACTGCATTGCATGACTAATCACTAAACAAATCCACATGCACAAAAACGTAAACTTAAACTTAACTGAATTCAATGCAAGCAAATCTAAGACATGCAATTCATTCAAAGGAAACTCAAAAAAGAGAACTATGAGCATTTCTAGAACCGAGCATTTTATGCCCCAACAGAACAGGCCAAGAGGCTTGATCAGTCACTAAATAATATGCAACAAAAATCATTTTATGATTTTAGTTTCTATAAATTCTACTTGGAAAGAGGAGGGTCTTATAGATAATATAAAAGTGTTTGTTGTTGGTGTCTTTACATGCACTCACCAACTTTAAAAAGGCCAGCTAAAAAACATTTTACTAAACAAAATTGAACTCAAAAGAAGTTGTGGAAACTCTACTAGCTCAAGCAAAAATTGAGCCTTATGCATAAGACTAAGAAGAGCAGATACAACAAAATAATAGTGTCATATTATAATCATGATATTTATTCTTGTTGATTGTAATATTGTCCTATCATATATGTGATTCCTAGCATATCACAATCCACACAACTTACTATAATCTTCCAATTCAAAACAGAAGTAGCGACAAAAAACCTCAGATAGTGAAGAAACATTACAAAAACATCTTATGTTTTTTTTGCTTCTTGTCATATTCTTTGTTTCTGTAATGTTGTCACTGAGACTTAAAATAACAACAACTCAAAACAACCACAACAAAATCAAAGTTGTTACATCTCAGGTAGGGAAGAAACATTCATCCAAGAACAAACAAATATGCATACAAACTGATCAGACAAAGAGTTCGAAGATGCTAAAGTTAAACTCCTAGTTAAAGTTTTTCCCTCATCACTCCTACTAAAAATTAACAAAGAAAAAGAAACAGAAAGTTAGGGTTTTGACACAGAAACTTGCCATAACTATCATCCATCTTAGACTTAACTAGAAGAAGAGATGGAGGAAAAGAACAAACTTAGGGTTTTGATTGACTAACCTCTTCTGCGTTTTCGTCTGGTTTTGCGTTTTCCTCAGCGATTTCCTGTAATGAGACCAAACGATAGGAGCCTTCTAGAAACAACAGATGAGTCAACAAATTTGTTAGAGGACCCACAAAACGTGGAAGAAAAGAATGATTCTATCACTAGTGGTGGGAGGTTACCGCGCAGAGGAGAGAGAGCGAGAAAACCGCACAGCATGTGGAAGGAATTTGTGAAACCATGATGCCAGCTACATATAGTGTACTAGGGGAATAATTTCTGTTATGTGATTTGTAGGATTGTTATTCTTCTCCCTCAAATTCTCTTTTCACATCTGGGTCCTTGTACGCCAACTATTTGCTAAAAGTTCAATTAGAAAGTTATTTCTCTTCCTCATTTTTTTACTATACTGTCAGTATTGTTTCATTGGTGCTTTCATCAACCATGGCCGCTCCACAATACAAAGAGATGCAAGATGATATCAAGCGCAATACAGAGGAGATGAGGCTGTTTCAGACTGAAATCCTTGAGCGTATGGAAAAACTAGAAGTTAGTAACGCATCAAAGTTTGATGAGATTCACACAGCGCTTGACATCCTCATCCAACAAACACCGTCGAAGCAACGCCATGGTACAGAACTCAACAGCAGACCTCCGTTTCAGTTGAGAAATATCAAACTCGAGTTTCCTCGTTTTGACGGCACTAACGTACATGAATGGATCTTTCGTGCTGAGCAGTTTTTTGGGTATTATGATACACCTGATCATGATAGGTTAACTATTGCATCTGTGCATCTGGATAAAGATGTGGTTCCTTGGTTTCAAATGGTTCAACGTTCTAATCCGTTTCATTCTTAGATAGAATTTACTCGTGCTTTAGAACTGGATTTTGGTCCATCCATATATGAATGCCCTCGTGCTACCTTGTTTAAATTGAATCAAACAGGAACTGTTTCTGAATATTATCTTCAGTTTACAGCATTAGCTAATAGAGTTTATGGTTTAAGTAACGACGCCCTAATTGATTGCTTCATAAGTGGCCTCAATACTGAGATTCGTCGCGATGTGTTAATCCATACACCCACCTCCATCGTAAAAGCAGTATCTCTAGCCAAAGTATATGAGGAAAAATACACTCAAACAACCAAACCACAAAGAAACAGCCCAAACGCATACTACAAACCACCCTTCAATTTACCCAAACCAGAAAATAGCCAAAAAAACACAACCCCCATCCTCAACACACCCCCCCCCCCCCCACGAGACCTATGAGCCAATTCCAAAAGAATCCCAATATCAAACGCATATCCCCTGCAGAGATGCAACTTAGAAGAGACAAGGGCCTTTGTTATTGGTGTGATGACAAGTTCTCTTTCACTCATAAATTCCCCAACAGACAATTAATGTTGCTCCACTATGATGATTCTGAAGAAGAACATATCACTATTGGGAATGAGACACCAATTGATGTATCCACTGAAAACTTGTACCAACATCAACCTCAACACCATTTATCCTTGAATGCCATGAAAGGGGATTCCAACTTGGGCGTGCTTAGATTCTCTGGGTTAATTGAAAACATCAAGGTGCAAGTGCTAATTGATGGAGGCAGTTCAGATAACTTCTTGCAACCTCGGATAGCTAAATTTTTGAAGATACATATTGAACCAGGCCCAGTATTCAGAGTGCTAGTAGGCAATGGTGACATGATGACTGCGGAAGGGGTCATTCAGGATTTACCATTGAAGATACAAGGAAATGAGTTGAAAGTTCCTGTATTCTTACTACCGGTAGTCGGGGCAGATGTGATATTGGGAGCAGCTTGGCTAGCTACTTTAGGACCACATGTAGCTGATTATGCTTCACTTACATTGAAATTTTTTTTTCAATAGTAAGTTTGTGACATTAGAAGGTGAAAGAGCTCCCAAACCTGCAGTACCACAATTACACCATTTCAAGAGACTCTATAGTACTGATGCTATAGCGGAATGTTTTACAATCCAATGGCAAAAAAATTATACTGCTGAAGATGTTTGGAAGGAGTTACCTACCAATATTGACCCTGAGATGGCCATATTACTCCACACTTACAAAAGTCTATTTCAACAACCAACTACATTGCCACCTAACAGAGCACACAATCACCATATTCCATTGATGGAAGGCTCTAATCCTGTCAAGGTTAAACCATACAGATATCCACACAGCCAGAAGACTCAAATTGAACACATGGTACAGGAAATGCTACAGCAGGGGATTATACAACTAAGTACAAGTCCATTTTCTTCACCAATTATTTTAGTGAAAAAGAAAGATGGTACATGGAGGTTCTGCACTGACTATAGAGCTTTAAATGCTATAACTATCAAGGATTCATTCCCGATTCCCACAGTTGATGAGCTATTAGATGAGCTCTTTGGAGCTGGGTATTTTTCAAAGTTGGATCTCAGGTCTGGTTATCATCAAATACTGCTACAACCAGAAGATAGACACAAAACAGCTTTCAGGACACACCAAGGCCACTATGAATGGTTGGTCATGCCGTTTGGTTTAACCAATGCACCAGCAACATTCCAGAGCCTCATGAATCACATTTTTCAGCATGCTTTGAGGAAATATGTGTTAGTATTTTTTGATGACATACTAGTCTATAGCCCGACATGGCAGGAGCATTTGAATCATTTAGATAATGTATTAGGCATACTGCAAGCCAATACAATGTTTGTCAAACTGTCTAAGTGTTCCTTTGGGGTCTCAGAGATTGAGTACCTTGGACATGTGGTAACTGGACAGGGTGTTTCCATGGACAAGGACAAAATACAAGCTGTTCAAGATTGGCCCTTACCTAAAAATGTGAAGCAATTAAGAGGGTTCTTAGGTCTCATGGGCTACTATAGGAGATTTATAAAAGCTTATGCTAAGATTGCCGCTCCTTTGACTGATTTACTAAAAAAAGAAAGTTATGTGTGGAATGAACAAGCTGAGACAGCTTTTAATCAATTGAAAACTGTCATGATTTCTGCTCCTGTGTTGGCCTTGCCAAATTTTCAAAAGCCCTTTATTTTAGAAACAAATGCTTCTGGTGTAGGGGTGGGTGCAGTGTTGCATCAAGATGGTCACCCTATTGCTTACTTTTCAAAGAAAATAGTCCCTAGAAATCAAAAGAAATCGGCTTACTTTAGGGAAATGTTAGCTATATCTGAAGCAATAGCTAAGTTCAGACACTATTTGCTCGGACATAGATTCATCATTCGTACCGATCAAAAGAGCTTGAGGAGTTTAATGGATCAGTCTCTACAGACACCAGAGCAACAACAATGGTTACATAAATTCTTGGGGTATGATTTTACCATAGAGTACAAGCCCGACAAAGAAAATCTTGCAGCAGATGCCTTGTCTAGATTAATGGCACTATCATGGTCCGAGCCACAGTGTCAATTTATTCAAGCAATTAAAGAAGGGTTGAAAGCAGATAGCCAATGGAAAGAGGTCATAGATAAATGCATACAGCAGGGAAATGCTTATTTACATTACACTTTCAAAGAAGGCTTACTATATTGGAAGAATAGAATTGTCATCCCTCAACATAAAGAGTTGGTTCAGCAAGTCTTAAATGAATTCCACTCATCTCCAATAGGTGGTCATGCTGGAGTTACTAGATCTATGGCCAGAATTAAGGCTCAATTCTATTGGCCTGCCATGAAGAAATATGTATCCCAATATGTACAAAATTGCACGGTGTGTCAACAAGCTAAAACAGCCAATACCTTGCCTGCTGGATTATTACAGCCATTACCTATACCATCACAAGTTTGGGAGGATGTAGCCATGGACTTTATTACGGGTTTACCGATGTCTTTTGGCTATACTACTATATTGGTAGTCATTGATAGACTGACAAAGTATGCTCATTTCTTACCAATGAAAAGTGACTACTCTAGTAGATCTGTTGCTGAAATCTTCATGCAGAATGTGGTGAAATTACATGGCATGCCGAAATCCATCGTTTCTGATAGAGATAAGGTGTTCACAAGCTCTTTTTGGCAACATCTATTCAAGCTACAGGGAACTACATTAGCAATGACTTCTGCTTATCATCCTCAATCGGATGGCCAGTCTGAAGTTCTTAACAAAGGGTTAGAGCTGTTCCTTAGGTGCTTCACTTTCCACAATCCTAAGTCTTGGTTTAAAGCTTTATCATGGGCTGAATTTTGGTATAATTCAGCTTTACAAACTAGAATTGTAATGACTCCATTCAAGGCTCTATATGGGAGAGATCCACCAACTCTGACAAGATACGAACCCCATGCTAATGACCCTCCAACACTTCAAGAGGAGTTGATGGAGAGGGATAAATTGCTGCAGCAGTTGAAAGTTCAATTAGAGAGGGCTCAGCAATATATGAAAAAACAAGCTGATAAACATAGACTAGATGTGACCTTACAGGTAGGTGAATTAGTCTTGGTGAAACTCCAGCCATATAGGCAACAATCTGTTGCATTGAGAAAGAACCAGAAGTTGGGAATGAGATACTTTGGACCATTTGAGATCATAGCACGAGTAGGAGAAGTTGCCTATAAGCTCAAGCTACCTGAACATGCCAAAATCCATCCTGTTTTTCACATATCTCAGCTAAAGCCATTCAAAGGTGTGCCTCAAAATCAATACATGCCCTTACCACTCACCATGTCTGAAAATGGACCCATCATACAACCCAGGGAGGTATTACAAGCTCGTACCATAGTCAAAGGTAATCAGGAAATTCATCAGGTTCTAGTCCAGTGGGATCAACATACAGCATCTGAAGCAACGTGGGAAGACGTTGATGACTTGCAGAAGAAGTTTCCTTCCTACAACCTTGAGGACAAGGTTGTGTTTAATGGGGATGGTATTGTAATGAGACCAAACGATAGGAGCCTTCTAGAAACAGCAGATGAGTCAACAAATTTGTTAGAGGACCCACAAAATGTGGAAGAAAAGAATGATTCTATCACTAGTGGTGGGAGGTTACCGCGCAGAGGAGAGAGAGCGAGAAAACCGCACATCATGTGGAAGAAATTTGTGAAACCATGATGCCAACTACATATAGTGTACTAGGGGAATAATTTCTATTATGTGATTTGTAGGATTGTTATTCTTCTCCCTCAAATTCTCTTTTCACATCTGGGTCCTTGTACGCCAACTATTTGCTAAAAGTTCAATTAGAAAGTTATTTCTCT